AGAAACTACGGTAGTTTTCTTTCATCTAAGACTATGTCGGTTGGTCGCGGCACCACTCAAAAAGCTTCTTTTGTTAAAAAATTGGGCTCTCATTTGGACTGGTAGCTCCATCATGCTGACTGACTGGAGAATGATGCCAATCAGAAGTCGAATTTTTTGTGCACTGTATAGACTCAGAACTGATTAGACTGTTACGACAGGGCATTTTGTCTCCACGCGATTGTTCGCGATTATTCCACCTTACTGGCGTGAATGCGTAATAATAATTATTCGTTCTTATTATCTTGGAATTCAAAGGACCAAATCAAAGTCGCAGCACTACGGTTACTGGTCATAGATGAACGGGGTAATTGCAAACTGTCTGCAAAATTACATGAGTTGGAAGGGCACTGAATAGACGCGCTACTGAAAAAAAGATGAAAAAAAAAAGCTCCGCAGTGCTCCTCGTTGGAAACTAAAAATTGTGGATGTGTTTAAAAACTAAATTTCAAGATTCGTTAAAGGCTAAGCACCATCGAATGAATTTTAGTAGAAAATTTGCCTCTGATTTTTTAAAATGGTAGTACAAAAGTTTCTTTCAACTGTAAACCCCATAAGGCTTTACTGTTAGTATTATAGTTATTATTACCCTTACTAATATTATTATAATTATACTTATTGTTATCTTTATTCCTGTTATTACTACCGTTACTGTTACGGTACTAATAACACCAATTTTCCAGAACTCCATCTATTTCCTTGGATCAACACTATCTGATGGGAAACTTAACTGGTGTAGCTTCATTTTGGATGTTTGACCACTGATAGTGTCAGTACTTGAGGTTTCTTCTCTTACTCTAGCAATGCTCAACTTTATCTTATGTCATTGTTGCCTAACAAACCTTGTACTTTATCCAAAAAAAATCAGAAGTTGCAGGGATCTTCTCCTCTCCTAAATTCTTCGTGAAGCCTTTTCTTTTCCTTCAGTTCTGTGGTTGATAACTTCTTCATTAAATGACACCAATTCTTATTATAGTTTTCCGATTGTTCGACAGCTTCTTATAGATATCTTCGGTCATATTCCAGGGTGTTAATGAGCTTTTGGCAGTCTCCTCAATATCTTCTGGTACATCTACTTCCTCATCTACCATCACAAAATAGTTTTATAAACGCTTGTTTCTGTAGTCGATAAATTTGCGAATTCCGAGTGAAATACTTCAATAAAATTAATTTCTTAATCAAGAATAGAATGCTCATCGTTCAGCTTCCAATTTAGAAAGAACACTATTTCTAAAGCGAGTCCCAGCTCGTGACACCCATATGTAGTGGAACTTTTATCACTTACAATAACTCAATTTTGGATGAATCCCTTATAGGCGTTCGTTTAAAAAACGCCTCTAAAAAGAAATTTTTTTTTAAATTTCTCGAAATTATTATTATTATTATTATCTACTACTACTACTACTACTACTACTACTACTACTACTGCTACTAGTATAGTTATTGTTATTATCATTACTTATTCTTAGTATTACGATTATTATTATTATTACTATTATTAGCTGATTCCGAAAAATCTCAAAATTAATTTATTATTATTGTCTTATTATTATTATTATTATTATTATTATTATTATTATTATTTATTATTATTATTATTATTATTATTATTATTATTATTTTGTTATTGTTATCATTATTATTACTACTACTATTATTATCATTATTACTAC